CCTGCCTGTCCAAAATATGGTCTACATAACTCAAAAATAAAAGGCTTTCGCGCCAACGCATCTAGTCGACGCGCGTGAGCTTGGCGAGCGTCTCGCCGACGGGCGGCACGACGAGGCACGTGTAGTCCTGCTTCGGGAACGTCTTGTCGACCATTTCGACCTTGAAGAGGCGGAAGAAGATGCTGAGCACAATCTTGACCTGGATGTACGCGTACTGCTGGCCCATGCAGCCGTGCATGCCGCCGCCGAAGCTCACGTTCGTGTACGGCTGGCGGTCCTCCTCATTGCGACCGTCGAGGAAGCGCATCGGGTCGTACTTGTCCGGTTCGGCCCAGTAATCCGGGAGGCGGCACGCCGCGGCGGGCGACGAAAACACAATGTGGCCGGCCGGGATCGTGTACTCGTTGCACGTAATGTCCTTCATGACCTTGCGCATGAGGAAGATGAGCGGCGGCGTCAGGCGCAGCGTCTCCTTGATGCACGCGTGCAAGATCGGCATGTTGTTGACCGTGTCAAAGTTGAGGTTGTCGCTGCCGCCTTCGCCGAGGACTTCGTCCTGCTCCTTGAGGATCTTGGGGATCATCTCGGGCGTCTGGAGCACGAGCTCGATGACGGCCCACGTGACCGTGAGCGAGCTCGTGTGCTGACCCGCAAAGAGAAGCGCGATGAGGAGGCCGACAATGTGCTCATTCGGGATCGGGACGCCCGGCGTGTCCTTGTACTCCGAGTTCATGAACGTGTCGAGGATATCGTCCGCCTACAATCGAATCCAAGTTTAAGGACGAGACTACGACAACGAAGATGACGTACGCGCTTGCCCGACTCACGGCGCTGCTTGATGACGCCGGAGAAGAGATCTGACATCTTTTTGCGAGCAGCATCACGACGACGGTGCATCGGGATCGGGAGGTACGGGAAGAAGAAGCTGAGGGGCGTGGTACCGCCGTCGAGATCGCAGTAGAGCGAAGAGACTTCCTTGAAGAGGTTCTCACGAACTTCATCGCCGAGGAGCGCGCGGGACGCCGTCAAGATCGTGACCTCCGAAAAGATCTTCTTCAGGCTCACGGTCGACTCCTTCGGGAAAGCCTTGAAGTAGAGCTCGGTCTCCATGCGGATCTTCTCGACGTACGTCTTGAGGCGCGACGTGCGAAGACCGTTGGCCATGAACTGCATCTGCTGCGCGCGGCGCTTGGGCGTCGCGTCGTAGACAAGACCAGGGCCGAAGACGGGCGTCATGAGCTGGTATACCTCGCTCTGGCTCAAGTAGTCGTCGTTGGGCTTGTAAAACGACTCGTGGGCCTTGGGGCCAATGAGGAACGTCAAGTCCTGGCCAAACATCTTGGCCGTGAAGCACGAGCCCTTCTACTCATCATATACACGTCATGAGCATGTACGCGGATGAGCGGATATGGGCAAACCTCCTTGTAGCCGTCGAGGACCATCTGGATCGGGTCCTTGGCGAACGCCGGGAACGACCCGAGGATCGGGATCATGTAGTTGAGCACCGGCGGGAGCTTGCCGTTGGTCTTCTTAGGCAGCGAGAGGTAGATGGCCACGAGGAGGAAGAGGCCAAAGGCCGCGAGCAGCTTCGCGTGCTCAGCGAAGAGGTCCGTGAGCGCCAGCATGTTGACGGAGGCAAATGTGGAAGTGACTCAAAGCTCGTAATGGCTCCGCCATGATTCCATCCAATCAAACGCGGTCGTAAGCAGCGATGCAAAAACATGTTGTCTCGCTTTTTGTATAGACACCAATCATCCGGATACAGCAACTGCGTGGAGCTCTGTTATCCGGACATCCCTGTCTTTAGAGGCATGTCCCTTGCAATGTAGAGGTGCTGCGGGGTACGTCGTTTGGATACGGTCTCTAAACCGAGGGATTGCACCGTGGACTTCGTGCACGGTCTATCCGGATGTATCCGGACAATGCAAGTTGCGCGGCCGATGGTATTGTATTGAATCCGTGGCCGCCATGAACTCGGTGCTGAAGAAGAACTTGATCCTCGCCGGTGCGCTCAGCACGTTTGCCATCACTGTCTTCTCGTACACGGTCTCGCAGATGTCCAAGGTAGGCCACGCCTATACAGGTCCGATCTAACGCCGCGTAGGACGACTTTGACGGCTTGGATACGGTCAAGGTCAACGTGCACGAGAGCGGCATCAAGGCGACGGTCGTCAAGCCCAAGGACGAAAGGTACTCTGACGGACAGTGCTGGTGCAATGGCTCATGGACACTGCGATGGGTAGCAACTAAGAACGCCCGCGAGCGACAGTGCACTTGCATGTCCCTGTCAAAATACATACAAACGTACACCACACTGGATCGAGCCAACTACAACGTCGAGTTGACGTGATGCCTCACGTCGCTGTTGCCTGCAGGGGCAAGGAGCGAAGGACGACGACCAACGTTCGACCGTGTCTAACGGAGCAACGCTTGATGCTACATAGCTATGCGGCAAATGGCGGCAAAAACACGAAGGGTGCGCAAGAGGAGCGGTGGATTACGATGGCGATTAAATAGGGTAGTACACGAGGTGGAAGCAGCGTCACGTCTACAAGCGCTGCGTTTGCTTGAGGATCTACACGAGGATGATAAGTGTCGAGCCGAGCGCGTGGCAGGTGCATCTACCTTCTTCATGAGATCCTGTGCCTTGGTTGTCTTGGTTAGCTTTGTGAGCACGGCAATGTTCTTGGCCGTGTTGTCCGACTTGCTGCGCTCGATGCGAGCCTCGTCAAGGAACTGCCGGCGCTTCTTAAGCGACTTGGTCTTTGCCGCAACTCCGGACTTGGACTTGCCGGCGGCCTTGCCCTTCGTCTTGGACGGCTCGTCCACGAGCACGGTCGCGCGCAGGATTTGCTTGGTCACGCGGGCCGACATGTTTCTTGATCTAAACGAGGTTGGCTGGCACGCGCTCTGTTGATTGGTGCGCAGCCATTGGCTGTAAACTCAAAACTCGAAACTCAAAAACTCAATCGTACGTAAACCTTGCGAACTTTATACTTGGGAGGCCCCAGTCGCATCCACGTAAAAGCCCTGATGGCGCTTCCGCCATGTGCGGCCCGTGCGCACGATCGCACCTTTCCACTGGTCTGCGATCTGCCAGAAGAGATCTCTCTTTCCGTCGCGCCACGTCAGCGTCACGTCAAAGGTTGTGTCCAAGGCCAGAACGCTCGCATCGGCCACCCACTCGACCGCTCCGTCGCGTTCGTATGTGAGCATGTAGTCGCTTTTCGTCTCGGTGCTATCGCCCAGAGGTTCAACAGCCAGGCACCCCTACATCGCGCGCGACTCATTTACGATCGAGAATCCCGCATCGCGCCGCTGTACCTGGAGCACATGGGCAGGGCTCTCGAGGATGCGAGCATGGACGTCGCATAGCATTCTGCAGCCGTGGATAGGACTAGCCTCTATGAAACCACTTGCACACACAACGTATATGGGGAGAGAAAGGTAGTACCTTGCATCGGGGCGAGGCGGTCGACTTGGAAAACCATCGTATCGCGCCGCTGTCGCTCCTTGCGCTTCCCGAGAACCTTGTGGGCAGCCTATACAAGCAGGACGATGATAGTGCGGAGTAGCATGCAGTTGTTTGTAATACGAGGTCGGCAGCATCCATGCCGTCGCTTGTAAATGACCACGCGAGGCCCCAGCGCGTCGTTCGGCCCTGCAAGAACTCGGTTGTGCGAGTGTTGCGAATGCCAGCGGCGCGCAACGTCGCTAGAAGCGGCCGAAGCGAGCTCTTGCGTCCGATGAGCGACGTATACCAGCGCACTATCAGACCCCGCGTCGTTGTCGACGGCACGGGCGAAACGAGCCTACCTTGGGTCTGGAGCGCACGACTTGCGTCAATGAGGCGTTCGATGAACGCGACTTCGCCGCCAGGTGTCGTCATCTCATTCAGCGACCCCGTGCAGCTCGTGCGCGGGTTCGTGTCGGCCTCGTCCATCGAGTCGAAGAAGGGCGGGTTGCACATGCTAAAGTCAACCGCTGGGGGCAGTGACGTCGGGAGGACACATGACGCTCCATCAACGAGGCGCAGCGAAATGTGCTGCTCGAGCTCGTTGGCGGCGACGTTGGCGCGCGCGCACTCGAGCGATGCTGCGTCAATGTCGGTCGCGACGAAGCGCCACTGATTCAAGGCGTGGCCGAGGAGCGGATAGATGCACGACGCGCCCGTGCCAACGTCAATGCCGACGATGTCGTTGCCCACGTACGTACGTCGCGAGAGCAAGAGAAGGTCTTCGATCCAGTGAATGTAGTTGAGTCGGTTGGTCAACTACATGCGTCAAAAGATGCTTCTCGCATGCCTAGCCGTTCATACCGTCGGGCACAGGTTGGTCGATGGCATATCCCAGGTCAGCCCAAAGTCGCGGTGCAGCAAGGCCTTTGTGAGCTCTCTACGGGACAATCAATTGAATTTGATGAAATAAACAGCAACGGGGTATGCGTACCGCAAGGCGTCGGGCTCGTGCCATTGCATGTGCATGCCGCCGGACGCCGTGGGCAGGAGGCTATTGGGATGAATGAGTCGTTGCCCACCAAGGATGACGTGGCATACTAAGGCTGCAGCGACGGGTACGAGGCAGAGAGTTCCTTGAAGTCGGGCGGAACCCTGTACTTGTTGCGCGGATGGATGCCATCGGCGCGCGTGGGCGTCCGCTTGCGCTTCTCGCCTCGCATGGAGGCACTTTTGACAAATGTGTTTATCCGGATGCTCGACGTTCGAGAGTCGTTGCCAGTGCAAACACTGCAGTGCAAAGGACTTGCTCGGCAATGGCGCTCGGCCAAGGAATCCCTTGGGTGTTGGTGAGAGCGACGAGGCTCCACTGTTTCGACATGGATGATAGTCATTGTTCTCTACTTCGCCACGCGATCTCAGTGTGCATCATCGAAAACGCACGTTTTGACCCAGTTGGCCGTACCTTTCCTTCCCTTGCCTTGTATAGTACTAGTACAGGCATTGAGTGCATGGACACGGGCACGGCGCTATCGCAACGCACTGAGTTGGCTCTGCCGAGTTCTGCTTGGTGGAGTAGCGAGACACTGGTGCATTGAATGTCCCGGCATTTCTCGTTGGTTCAAAGTCCAATTCAAGCGTTAGCATTCACGTCGAGCGCAACAAGATCGATCTTTTGCCGGAAAGCAGCCTGGCACCTGATTGCGCCGCGTCGCTTCGCCAACATAATAGTGGTTGTCAATGATGACAGACAGGTAGGAGTTATTGGTTGGGTACTCGCTTGTCTATCAGCAAGGGTCGTCGACGAAGAGCTGCTTACAGAGAAGCGCTGCTGCCCCATTGAGGTCAGAGCAATCTCTGCAAGGGGAGATAGTATTAGTAGCAAGTCCCTCGCCCTATCACGCAGTTTACTCTGTCGGCAGTCGCACGACGCAAGATCGGCCGTCGTTTCATGTCGGCAATCCCAGATTTGGTGTCCGGATACCGCTTACTCCAGAAATGGCCCGGACGACATCCGAGAGCAGCAACCGGAGCATGGACGCGTGTGGCGACGACGACGACCAAGACTGGAAGTGCAAGGCCATGGAGCTCAAGGAGAAGCGCCGCATCCAAGAGAAGAAGAACCGGTGGCGCGAGTACAACCGCGCCAAGCAGAAGCTCTACGTGCACCAGAAGCGGTCCGAGCTCGAGAACCTGCGGCGCGAAGTCGCCGATCTCGAGGCCATACTTGCCCAACGACGACCCGACGTTCCTGCGCTATCTTGGGAGGACGTCGCGGTGGGCCTTCACGATGAGACCCAACTCGTGGTCTCGGAAAATCGCCTTCTCAAACAACAGCGGGCGGCGTACGTCGAGTTTATCAAGCTCATGGCACGCTCCATGGACGACACGTGGCACACGATACCTCAGGTATGCCGTCGACCCCATCGTCCGATCTCAATCCAATGCCAGATTCTTCCGATGGAGCTGCCGATCTTTGCTGTGCGCAAGATTGCGCTCCTCGCGTCGCCCGAGTCGCGCCACGTCGGCTTTGACTGGCTCACGCACCTCGTGTACCAAAACACAGATCTGATCCTCGAGCGGTACCCGTTCACGGACGCGCCCGACGAGTTTGTCATTGATGACATCAACATCGACTGCCTCCAGTACGTCTGGCGCAGCCAGCGCGTCGTGGACTGCGTCAGCTTTAAACAAGTCGTTGCCGCCGTCGAGACGCATGTCGTGAGCAAGATCAGCATGGCTGACCTCACGCCCGACGAGCAGCGTGTGAGCCACATGCATACGGTGCCGCTGGACCGCGAGGTACGCGGTCGCGCCCGTGTTTCTCGACCAACTCGAGCACTAGGTGCTTCAAGGGACCAACATATCGTATTCGTGCGCCACATTTGGAGACGATCCGGTCTCGAACGGCTCCAAGCTCCTCTTTCGCCGGTACTATGGCCCCGATCGGTTCATCGCTGCGGGGCAAACGATCACGGAAGACGAAGCCGTGCCGAGCTCGCGCTCGCTCTACCGCAAATCGCTCTACTGGTACTGCGAGTCTGGTCGCTTCTGCACGCTTGTCGTCACGGAGCGATCGATGTATTAGGTGCATTGTGGACCGCACGGCGCCGACATGCACACGCGTCCGGACGGTGCTCTTGAGCTCGCACTCGTATACAAAGAACGGGCAGTGTGTGTCGTTGCCACAAGAAGCGCGGGCGTGGGGTCTCATGCTCGACGAGCGAAGGATCCCCGAAGCCGAGATTCTGCCGATTCTACTCCGGCACGTGCGCCGGAATGGTGCGGCCGTGGGCGCTACGTGCGTCAAGCTCCTCGACAACATGATGGGAGCGATACTCGAGTCGTCGTCGTCAAATGTCGTTGAGAGCTTCTATGGCTTTTCCAAGCTCGCTATCCGCGATTGAGATTGAGATTCACGACGCGTTTAAACAGGCGAATTCGAGTATAAAACGCACGCGCGATCTTTTTGCGTGTCAAGCGCCACCCAATCATTGGGCGTTGCGTCCGCCATTCATTTCTCGACGTCTTTTTTTAGATTACCTAATGCAGTACACGTGGTCCCGTTCAGCCAATGAGCGTGTGAGAATCGAAGCCCCTTCGCGCAGATTGGTGGTGGAGCTCGGTTCGCGAGGGAATCCACGTCGAATCCAATCAAAAAGGCGGAAAATGAATCTAAATGTATTTTTAAAAGTAACTTAGGATTTGTATAAATTATCGAGCAAGCGCAATAAAATGCGACGGTTTGGCGTCATTGTCTCAGGTATAGTCGACGAGGATACTTTTCAAGGGAATACGACGGGCTGCTCCGAGGTGCCATAGTTGAATCACACGCGATGGGCAAAGCACAGAAGGAACGTCTTGCCGCCAAGGCCGCGGCCAACGCGACCATGTTTGGCCGCCCCGCCCCCGCGCCGCTGGCCCCCGCGGCCCCGAGCGCCGTCTCGGCGGCCGCCCTCCCGTCGTACAACCCGACGGTCAAGGCCTTCGTGCCCGGCAGCGCGCGCCCATCGTCGGTGCATTCTTCTAGCAGCGAGGCCGAGCCCGAGAAGGAGTTCACCCGCGTCCTCGGCAACGAGGAAGACTGCGCCACGTTCGTGGCTATTGAAGACATTGACGAGCGCAAGGCCATCATCGACAAGATGCTCCACACAATGTCCGGCTCAGTCTCGCGCAACGAGCGCCAGGCTGCGATCGCCGACCTCGTCAAGGCGCTCGAGCTTCTCACGATTGGCAGCGCCCACGGTTTCTACATCATCGACTTCACGCGCCTCGCGCTCAAGAGCAAGGCCGTCGACTCGCGCGAAGGTGCTCTGCTTACGTTCACCGCCATGGGTCGCTGCGACGCTGTCTCGTCCGCGATTGAACCGATTGTCGTCGAAGACCTCGTCTCGATCATGGAGCGCCATGCCGACAAGGAGCCCAACGTCCGTGACGCTGCTATCCGCCTCACGCACTCGCTCCTCGACCTCGTGAACCCGCTTGCCACGCGCACGTTCCTCTCGCAGATCTTTGTCTGCTTGGAACTTCGCCAGTGGCAGTGCAAGGTTGCCGCCCTCGACCTCCTCCGCAACTTTGCGCCGCGTGCGCCGACCGAGGTTTCGTGCTCGCTCCCGGAAGTCATCCCCAAGGTCTCGGAAGTCGTGTGGGATACCAAGACGCAGGTCCAGCAGGCCGCGCTCTCGGCGCTCACGGCTGCCTGCTCGACGATCGGCAACGACGATGTGCTCCCGCTCGTCCCGACGCTCGTCGATGTGATTGCGCACCCGGAGAAGACGCTTGCGACCATCGACGCGCTTCTCGCGACGACGTTCGTCGCCAACGTGGACGCGGCGACGCTCTCGCTCATTGCGCCGCTCCTCAACAAGGCGCTGCGCGACACGTCGACCAACTCGTCGGCGCTCCGTCGCAAGGCCTCGCGCATCATTGACAGCATGTGCCGCCTCGTCTCTCGCCCGAGCGACGTCGCTCCCTTTGTGCCGCTGCTTTTGCCGCAGCTCGACACGGTCATTGAGCGCATCGCGGATCAAGAAGTCGCTGAAGTGGCCTCGGATGCGCGTGCGTGCCTCAAGCGCGCTGCCGGCGAAGGCTCGGACGAAGAAGATCCGGCGGCGATCCGCCAGCTCCTCCAGCAGAACCTGATCGCGGGTCTCCACGAGGCGCTTGAAATCGCGACGCACCCGGGTCTTACCGAGTTTACGCTCACGTACATTACGGACGTGTGCGCCGAGCTCGTGACGCACAACCGCGGCAAGGAGTGGCGTGGGTTCGTGCTGCCGTACCTCTCGGCGCACCTCCATGACGAGGACGCCGATCGCGTGTGCAAGGCGCTGCGCAAGGCTGGCGGCGGCCTCGGCGACGACCGCGTCGTCTCGACGGACCCGAACGATGTGTGCGACATTGACTTTTCGCTCGCGTACGGCGGCAAGATTCTGCTCCGCAACGCCCGCCTCCGCCTCACGCGTGGCCACCGCTACGGCCTCGTGGGCAAGAACGGTGTCGGCAAGACGACGCTCATGCGCAACATCTCGAACCACACGATCGAAGGTCTCCCGACGCACCTCCGCACGGTGTATGTCCAGCACGAAGACGTTGTCGAGGACAAGGGCTCGCTCCTCGAGTCGCTCAAGGCGGCGCCCGAGCTTGCGCACAACGCGCCGGACGTCTTTGAGACGACGCTGGTCAACATTGGCTTTACGCGCGAGATGCTCGACGGCCCCATCGCTGCGCTCTCGGGTGGGTGGCGCATGAAGCTCGCGCTCGTCCGCGCGATGCTGTACAACGCGGATGTGCTTTTGCTCGATGAACCGACGAACCACTTGGACGTGCACGCAGTCCAGTGGCTCGTCGACTACCTCAACTCGCTCGAGTCGATGACGGTGCTCTTGGTGTCGCACGACACGGGCTTCCTCGACAACGTCTGCACGGACGTGCTTCACTACGAAAGCAAGCAGCTCGTCTTGTACCCGGGTACGCTCGCCAAGTTTGTCGAGAAGCACCCGGAGGCCAAGCACTACTACGAGCTCTCGTCGTCCGACACGCAGTTTGTGCTGCCGCAGCCCGGCCGCCTCGAAGGCATTGCCTCGACCACGCGCCGCATTCTCTCGATGGAGAACTGCAACTTTACGTACCCCGGCGCGACCAAGCCGCAGCTCGTCGACGTCAACATCAAGCTCTGCTTGGCGTCGCGCGTCGCCGTCATTGGTGGCAACGGCGCCGGCAAGAGTACGCTCATCAAGATGATTGTGCAAGAGACGATGCCCGACACGGGCGAGCTCTGGAAGCACCACAACTTGCGTATCGCGTACGTGGCCCAGCACTCGCTGCATCACGTCGAGCAGCACCTCGAGAGCTCGCCGGTCCAGTACATCCAGTGGCGTTTCGGCGGTCCTGGTGGCATTGATCGCGAACTCGCCGAGCGCGTCGACAAGAAGGAGTCGGAGGCCGCCAAGGCCGAGGGCGCCAAGGGCTCGATCGAGAAGATCATGTCGCGTCGCAAGGGCAAGCGCGGCACGCTCGAGTACGAATGCAAGCTCTGGGGCATGACGGAAAGCAAGAACCGCTACTACACGCTCGAGGAGCTCCAAGCCATGGGCCTCGGCAAGATGGCCGAAATGGAAGACATCCGCCAGGCGACGCTCGCCAGTGGCATGGATCTTCGCCCGACGACGACCAAGGAGGTCCAGAAGCACCTCGACGACTTCAACTTGAACGCCGAGTTTGGTACGCACGGCAAGATCCGCGGTCTCTCGGGTGGCCAGAAGGTCAAGCTCGTCATCGCCGCTGCCATGTGGACGCGCCCGCATTTGCTCGTGCTCGATGAGCCGACCAACTACTTGGATCGCGCGGCCTTGGGCGCCCTCGCCGACGGCATCCGCGGCTTTGCCGTGGCTGCATCATGATTTCGCACTCGGAAGAGTTTTACAACTCGCTCTGCACGGAGAAGTGGCTCGTCGAGTCGGGTCGCGTCCGCGTTGTGGGCGAGGCCCAGGAGACCGAGTACCGCCTCGGCGGTGGCAAGAAGGTCATCGAAGAGGAGGACGATCCGTCCCGTGCCGCCTTTGGCTCGTCCAACGACAAGATGAAGGTGACCGGCGTCATCATCAACCCCAAGTCGCTCCGCGCCATGTCGACCAAGGACGCGCGGAAGATGGCCAAGTGCGCCAAGGCGGCCGGTCGCTCGATTGAGGAGCACGTTGCGCAGCTCACGCGCGAGAGCCCCGAGTGGAAGTGGCTCCCGTACTAAACCCGTCATTATTATCTATCATGCATCGGCCCTCGATAAGATCTTTTAATCTACAATTTCACAACTACCGAGGCTGCTCATTACATGTGCGAGCCGGATCGAATGGAAGCTTCGTAGGGAGCAATGCAGATCAATACGGGGCACCGTACGCAGGTACGTGGGTCTACACGTAAGCGAAGATGCAATGAGATTCTACTACGAGATTGAGAGCACCGACCTCGTACGCGGGTCGTGGGGATACGACGGCGGGTGGTATCCACTCGGCGCGTACGGCGGAGGGTACGAAGGGGACGCATAGCTATGGCTATACGGCGGACCCACGTCGTGTCGTCCAGGGTTGTCGTAAGCAGACGGCGGAGGCGCGTCGTAACGCTGCGGCGGGGCGTCATACCGAGACGATGGCGCGTCGTACCGTGGTGGAGGCGCGTCGTACCGAGACGGCGGTGCGTCATACCGTGGTGGAGGCGCGTCATACCGAGACGGCGGTGCGTCGTACCGAGACAGTGGCGGAGGCGGGGCGTGGTCACTCGAGTACCTTGGTTTGTACGGCGCGCTGCTGGGTGCGTACTCTTGATATGTCGGCGGGGGCAGCAGAGGAGATTGCTTGTAGCCACTTGCTTGGGCTCCACGATGGGAGTCATAACTTGGCGCGTACGGTGGCGGCGGTTCGTACGCCTGCGAGTACGCGCTGCTACCAGCCGCCGCCGGTGGTTGATACGACGGTCGCTGGTACGACGGTGCCTGATACGGCACAGCAGACGGGGGCTGATAAGGCGCGGGTGGTGGCTGGTATGGCGCGGCTGCTGTCTGGTATGGAGGCTGATACGGTCCTGTCGGATACGGGGCCGACGGAGGTTGATACGGTGCGTGGTAGTCCGTGGCGGTGCTTCGGCCACCGAGCTCTCCGCGACCACCGGATTCACCCCGTCCGCCACGGCCACGGCCGCCTCGGCCACCGCCGAAGTCACCACGACCGCCACGACCGCCGGTGAAGTCACCACGACCGCCTCGGCCACCGCTG